AAACCTAACCTCTCTCTCTCTCTCTCTCTCTCTCTCTCTCTAGCAGCGCTCCCAAACAAGAATCACATGCGCTCCTGAGGTAGGACCTTTTGGCAGGGGACAATCTCTCGTCCCCCACTACCACCACCAATAATCATGGTGTTTGTACTTGAATATCTCAAACTATTTGTTCTTCCTAACATCTAGTTTTATGTTCCTACTCATTATGAAGGAAAATTCAAAAATTTCAAGATGGGAACATCAAAGCACTATGGCAGCATGGAATTTTATAAAGTCGACAATTTTTTTATTGCTACTGCCAATTAGTTTCAATAGCATGTCACCTGTTTCTTTAGTTTCATCTTGTATTCCATTTTAATTATGAATTAAAGCAAATACTAATGATGGCATTGACTTATTTTAAACTGTTTCTTTGCAGTGATCATTGGAGGAACAATCTCCCTTTCCTTGCAAAATCACATAAAGTTTATTCAATTGATCTTGTTGGTTATGGATATTCAGACAAACCCAATCCTCGTGACTTTGTGCCCAACTCATTTTACACCTTTGAGACATGGTCAAGTCAGTTGAATGACTTTTGCAATGATGTTGTCAAAGAAGGTGCTTTCTTTATTTGCAACTCCATTGGAGGTAATTTCTTATAGCCACATATAACACTATTGAATTATTCATTATTGCTTCATTATAGTTTATTATTGGATTTTATTTCTTGTATATGTAAAAATCTCTATCCCATGTTCAGTATTATAATGTTGATTTGGTGTTATCTATTATTTCTAATAGGGAGACCAAGTTTAGATTAAGTGGTATATAATCAAAATTCCTTTTTGATTAATGTTAATGTAAATTATAGTAGTTTAGATGAAGTTTCTACTTAACCGTATCTTCAAAAGCCAATTCAACCCAGCATGAAGAATGGCTTCATTTACCATTTGTGCAGTTTTTTCAAAGACGTAGGAATTTGTGGCTTGCAAATTGGAATGTTTCCTTCTTTTTCAGATCCTATGAAGGGCTTGGTGTCAAAAGGGTCCTTTCCTAGAAAGATGCCGATGCATCTAAAAGTGGTAAACAGGAGAACCTCACCTTCATTAATGATATTTTTCCTTGGCCAGATGCGACGATTAGTAGTTCAACCCTGTTTGATGGCATATGTGGCTTGAGCATTAGACTGGGCTTGTTAATTTACCTGTTGTTGATAGTGAGCGAGTAAACTTATATAGCAACTCAACATATGGCAGATCATTTCAGGACATATAGCTTCACTCCAATTACTAGTGTCATGATCAGGATCAAAATGCTTCATTTGTACTCTTCTGAGACTGACATTTGGAACGGACTTCAACTGTGTTATTATTTATCTAAATTCACCTCTATGAATCATTGGCCTACTGACATCTGAATCTATGGTCTGCTAGTATTGCTTATAGCAACATTCAAGACCCTAGCAAATCACAAAATTGATAAGCCACTAATAAAGGCATCTTGGAGACTTGATACAGTACTAAACAGAAAAATATGCACTTGACTCGATGTATGGAGTTGACAATTGTAACACTGCACCCGAGTTTCACTAGCAATGCTGACCTACTCAAATAAAAAAGAAAAACCAAAAAATTGTAGAGGCATAATCTCAAAACCAATTTTAACTCAATGAGAGAAATGATCAAATATGTTAGAGCTGAAAGCTGGAGATAGAGGAAATATGACTGGTTAAAAAAATTAGAAATGGGAATCAGGTGTCCAGTCATAAATGCAAAAATCTTCTTAATGTATCACATTGTTGTTATGGTGTGCAAGATAGATGATAAGTTAAAAAATTAAGAAATGGGAATCTCGTGGCCTGTCATAAATGCAAAAATGCTCTTAATGCACCACATTGTTGTCATGGTGTGGAAGATAGTGCCATTGACTCGTGCAATTAAGAAATTACAATAAGGTGTTAAATTCTCATCTGCAAAAGTTACTTGGGGACATTATTTTCAAATAGATCCCTGTTTTACTAGTGCTCTTTCTTCCTATGCTCATGTTGATTTATGAATATCAGTCATTTATAATTTTAAGACCTGGATCCATAGTAGAATGTAGTGCCTAGAAATTATGGACTCCCTCATCACTCATGTATCAGTTATTTGGCTTCTTAGGGGTAGTTGGACTTCAGGCAGCTGTCAATGAGCCTCGTATCTCTAGAGGCCTGGTCCTTCTGAACATTTCTCTTCGTATGCTTCATATCAAGAAGCAACCTTGGTATGCAAGACTTTTCGTCAAATCATTTCAGAATTTATTAAGGTAACCATAACTCAGCACTCTTTCACTCAATGCTAAAGTTATCCAATATTGATGCCTTGGATATTTGAACTTGTCACTAATGGAAATGACAGAACTACTAATCTAGGGAAGCTATTTTTTAAGGCTGTCGCTACACCAAATTCTGTTCGAAGTGTCCTTTGTCAGGTACACTTTTTTTAATGATTTAATGTGTCTTCTAGATTTAACATGCAAAATTTTACCAGCATAGTTATGGACACAACACAGCACACACACATACACAAAAACACACAAAAAAAAGGTATTGGTGGGCCTGTAAGACCACCAAAAATCTTTTTATCATCACCAAATCCATGATCCATTGGATAGAAGAGATTGCAGTGGGTGAGTCCCTTTATAGTAAACAGTTCACCGAATTGTCTCTGAACCCCCAAAACACTTTGGAACCTAGTGCAGTTCCTTTTGCTCTCTCAACTCTTAATGGATCAATCCTTTGAAACCTTGTAATTGTAGTTTTAATGCCATGGCTGTGTTGTTCCACCTAACTTCGTAGCTCTCTCAAACCCATTCCTAGCAATTGGGGAATCCCTAAAGCCCAGCCATGTTTCAATGGAGGTGGAACTAGGAGATGTTGTAGAGGGGTGTGTGAGGGTATGGGGTTTTGTTGCAAGAGGAGTGCACCTATGTCTCCTATTTTATTTTTTTTTGAGAAAAAACCTGTCTTCTATTTTACGTTAGAGCAATTTGAATTCATACTTAAATTATGAAACCTCATTTGTGTTTCCCCTGGATCAAATTTTGTTTGAGTTTTGGAAAGCCGATTGGTTACTTTGCATTCCCTAGCATTTCACAGCACCATAAGAATTGGGGCATCAATTTGGATACTTACCTCAAATTCTAGGGCCTGAGTCCAGGGCCCTTGAGTGGAAGCTTAAAGTACTTTTTTAATAGTTGGGGGTTCAGTAGAGAGAGAACTTATTTCTGTTCTAGACAGAGGAGAGTTTATATTATAGTGGCGGGGATATACAAACCTAGGTTGTGATCCCGTTTCATAATCTTGCTCTAGGACTACTAGAAAGGGATGATCAAGGGATCTTAATTTTTAAATTTTAGGATCTCGATCCCAATTGTTAGGCATCTCTATCTACACCTTAAAGACCAAGATAACGGCCAAACCAGATTTTCTTTATTTATAGCCAGCTATCTTTTAATATAATGACATTGTCTGCTAACTATAAATAATGAGGTACCTACTTTAAAGAGTATATTACTCGATATATACTCTTTAAGATTGGGAGCAAGATCCCCAAAAGGTTAGAATTGAGATGCCAAAAGATCAAAGATCGAGATCCCGAAAGGTTGGGGTCAATATCTTAAAGATTTGGGGATTTCGATCACTAGCATATGCATGGAACTGACAGTGTTCCCAACCATAAGGATCTTCTTGCCTTCACAATTCCTTGCTTCCAATTCCGCTCTTGATCCCAACAACTGTGATTTATATAGTTCATTTATCCTGCATCCTTTATCTTTTCATATGAGAGAGGAAGAGGGAGAGTTACTTGAGTGAGGGCCTTAGCTTTTCTAGAGGGAGAGAGCTGGGGCCTTTCACATGGTTCGAAGTTTCTCCAAGAGGGTTTTGGTGGAGCAGGGGTTGTGGAAGGTTGGGCTTCCGAGATGGACAGTATGAGAGCAGTTTTTGGGTGGTGAGAGCGGCTTTCAGGTTTTGGGTTAAATTGGGTGGCCCCATGAGGTTGCAGGAAAGGTTTTGAGGGATTGGTCTCTTAAGGGTTGTTAACTGGTTAGGTTTTCTGAAATCGGGTGCCCACCCCAACCTTCATTGTTTGTTCAAACTGATGGTAGATGAGTTGATGGTTTATAGGTCTTTTGGTGGTCCTATGAGACCATCAAAAACCTTACCTATATATATATA